GTGTGTGTGTGTGTGTGTGTGTGTGTGTGTGTGTGTGTGTGTGTGTGATGATATCTATATGGTTCTATTTAATATTTTAAGTACCGCTTTTGCAAATTGTTGCATACATTTATATAGTTTTAAGAACTAATTATTCAATTTTAAATTAATTTTTTTAACCATTTTTCGTGGTTTCAAGTAATTGTTCACTACATTATTTAAGTATTTCCTTGAGTTATTTATTTTTTTGTCTGTTTTTGCACAATTTAATTTAGTTTTATGCATCTAAGTTATTTTATCTGTTTTGTTGTTGATCTTGCACTACAAATTATTTTGAACATCACTGTTGCAGTTCTTTGGAACCAAAGAGAATAAACCAGATGAGACCTTTGCTGTAAAGTACATTGCATACTGGTACTTTTTGTTGTTGTTACTTTTAGTACCACTGATATATACATATAATGTAAATAGGGCTGTCAGAGTTGCAGTGAGTTTATGTTAGGTGGGTGAGTGATCGGATCATCTAACTGTTGATTGCAGTAATCCACATTATTAGCAGAAATAGAGGGCCTCAAACCAAATTTCGCTTAGGGCCCCATGGAGGCTTGGGCTGGCACTGATTACAAGGTAATAATAAGAACAGAGAAATGAGGTTTAGTACTTTTTGTTTTTTTGCAAAAAAGGGTGCAAAAGAGTAAAAAAGGAATTGTGTATTGAAGTAAAATAAATTATTTATTTTGTTTTCTCTTGGCTTTCTATCGTATAAAAAAAATCTAAAAACAAGAATTACCCAGGTAGTTGACCAGGATCCAGTCTTCGTCGTCTTCCTCTTCGTCCTTGCCGTCTCCGGACCTGCTGCCTCGGCTCAGCTCTCCCGCGTCGTCCCCGAACAGAGCACTGGCAAACCTGTGGAACATCCCGGGACGTCCTGAAGGCGCGTGAGGCTGAGGGCGGCGCGTGGCTTGGAGCGACGGCGGGGAAACGTGGCGGTCGTTTTGGTCATCAGCTGCAGGCCACACCGTGGGCGGAAGGCTCCAGAAAGGTGCTAAAGTGCATCAGTAAGATGTGGTCACAGATCATCTGAGGGTCAGCAGAAACATGCTGGACATCAACAACGTCAGGGCTCCACAAGTGCAAAAATACAAAAAAAATACGAGTCCTAAAAGGAGAGGAAGAAAAAAAAAAAACCATTATAAATTTAAGTTCACTTTTAATGCATTTGAACAAAATTACAACTAGAAACAAAAGCGGAGGTCAGGAAGTGTTAGGAATAAAGTTGTTAATAATGTAAACATTGTTGGCTTTATTTCTGGAGTCTGCTCACCCAAAACAAACTCTACCTTTTAAAGTGGAGATTAAAATAAAATTAGCAGAGGGTTTGAATCAAAAATAAAATGTGGGTCAAACGGTATTTAAGAAAACCAAAAGTCAAAATTAGCCAAGTAATGATTGAGTTACAAATCCTACACAATTAAAGCTGCACTAAAACATTTTAACGAATTCCTTGTTAAAATAGTTCCAACAAAACCTTAAAAAATTGATTTATTATAATGGATTTAAAAAAAAAAGGCAATTTGACTTCACTTTTATTGCACTAACTGGCAGCAGGAAGCCATTATGCACCACTGCTACTTTACACAATGTTTATAAGGAGTCTGGTAGAAACATCAGATAAAGGAAAAGACGTTCTGTCAGAATGTGCTTGTTGCTGAACTCTTATCAAGGCCGTAAAGTGAATTCCCATCATTACACCAACCGTCAGAGCTGGTGGATGCAAACAGCTGCTGGGTTATTGATCTGATGGAAGCAAACACAGAGGAGCTGTCCTGACCGTGGACATAAAGAGCTCAGCTGTCCTCAGAGGACACGCAGACACAGCTGGCTGGCAGCACTTCACTTTAGGATAGTAGACGAAAAGTGATCGGGCCCACTGCAGCTGCTGTGACCCACTGGCAAAGTATTCATTCAAAGTAATACAATAATACTCTGCTCCATCCTTTAATCCACCTTTTGTTTCCTAAATTATAGTTTAAAGTCGGTCTGTACACCTGTTCACCGATAGAAAATGGTTTTCACTTGACCACTTTAGCACTGTAAATACAAATTATATAATGGTATTAGTAATAATACTGTATAGAATCGTATTTCCTTGGGGGGAAAAACAAATTCTCTATTTTGTTACTGTTACTTGTGAACAAAGCTTTTATTACATTCAGGGGAATAAGTGAAAATGTGGGCTGTGCTGTTTTCTGGAATCCATGCAGATTAAAACAATTAATTCCTTTGTTCTAAATCACGGATTACCCTTCATCATTAACACAGGAGAAAATGCATTTTCTGCAGAAATGTAGTGCGATTAGTAGGTGCTGAAATTATCTAAAGAAGCTAAAATGGAGCAAAAACAAACACTAAGTGCTAAAAGAAGCATAGCCAAAAGTATCAAAATGCTAAAAGCAGCCAAAGGCTAAACTTAGCATATTAAGTACAGTACAGAAAATAGTACCCTGAAGCTAATTTAAAATAGAACAATGTTTTTGAATGTTTTGACACGGTCTTGTGTAATTCTGTTGGCAAAATGTGTAAAAGCAAATATTTAGCAACGTCTGAATTTATCCAGAAGTAGCAGATTGCAAAATCGTACGGGAAAAAAACAACAACAAAACAAACAGCACGGAAAAAAAAAAACAACAACAGGAAAAGAATGTTGCAGTGTTGACAAGAATAACCATCCAAAACCCAAACCGAGCTGGAGATGTTTCAACTCACGCGGACTAAAAGCCTGAAATGTCCGACTTTTTCGCCCTGCTTTTAAACGCGCCTTTGTGTGGTAAAGCCGTGACGCGTTAAGGGTCCCACGAATTCGCTCGGAATTCTCAATATCAAGATGATTTAACGAGAAATAGTGGGAGAGGGCTCTGCCTTTCAGGAACCAGTTGAGCAAACAGGCAGCAGCTGAGACGCAGAGCAAACAAGAAGGTTTTAAAGTGACTGACTGACTGTGGCATCAACAACAGCAGCACATCTTTCCAAGCTTTTACAACGAATTAAGGCAAAAACTGCGAAGACGGTTGCATATAATCCCCCACACAAAAGGCTAATCAAGGAGCTTGCTTTATGATCATATTAGTCCTGCTAAACAAGAAATAATGTCTCTGTTACAGCATTTATTTCATTTATTCATAAACGCTGGAGAAGTAAATTATGAGACATGTACAGCAGGCTGCAGGATTAACACAAAGGAAGCCCCATAATCAGGGATAGAAAGGGATAAAACACAGATTATGCACGTTTGAGTTGCCAAAAAATAAAAAAAAGAGAGAGGTTTACCCCCTTTATTCAGCTTGGACAGCCCAATAACTCATCAGTTCAAGTCACTTACTGTTTAAGATGCTGTTTTTATGTTTTAACATTAATCTGAATTATGATCCCTCCTCAGATGAACGTTTTTATTTGCTTTAAGAGCCCTATAAGGACAGCCCAGAGACAAAATGATCGAGAACATTTGGTTCCTCAGCTTGTTATTAGTGTTGTTAAGCAGTGTGTTCAGCTGCTCCAGGGATAATGTGCTGCAGCTTTTGATGGTTAAACAAGAGGAAGAGGAGGAGGCTGTAATCCAACACTGGTGGGGCTGCAGCTCCCAGACAGGCTGCTAAACCTTCATTTCCTTAAATCTGTGATCAAACATGTCCGAGAACAAGCTCAGGTCTTCTTGGATTTTAAATTAAAGAATAATTAGACATTTTAATCCAATAAAAGGGATTTGCGGAAGTAAAACTCTTAAGGGTTGAGCAGAACAAGTCGATGAAAATGTAAAATAATCATCGGATGTAACGGGATTATTTTGTCTTGATGTTGAGGTAAAACTCGTCTCTACCTTAATGCAGTTGGAAAAAAAACAAAAAAAACCCACTTTGCATTAAAATAAAAACCAACGGGCTCGTGAATGTTCACCAAAATGGAAACAAAGAACCCACCTGCGGCAAGAGGAGGAGCTGGAGCCGATGTCGAGTAAAAATCCTTAAAACGGAGGTAGATTCGTTACTTTTCGAAAAGCAAAAAGACTTTAGGCTTCTTCGCGGAAGAAATAAAACATAAAACCTGTTGTTTTATGGACTGTTCATCTGGAGTCACAGTTCAGTTTTCGTGTTTCTCCTCTCAGCCCGTTTCCTCCTCCGTCCCTGAACTGCGACTTCTTTTGTTGTTGTTGTGGAGGTCTAACAGCTGATTGACGTGACGTCACCGGGGACAGCCTATCAAAGGGGACGGACATCAGCAGTTTAGCCAATCAGAGTGCGGAAAACCGGCTGTCACTAACCCACGTGACTCCTCCCCTCCTTATACAGAAGAAAAAGGGCATGACTGGGCAAAGCACTCAGCTGAGCGGGACGAAAATGTCAGTTTCTCCCCGAAAAACCAGCCAAATGTTACATAAACAGACCCGCATCCGGATCAAGCTGCAGGCTTTCCTGTTTTACAGCATCCACCCAATCTATTAATCTGGATTTTTGTGAAATGATGTTATATAGTTGCTGATTTGACAATATTTAGTTAACTTGGTTAGAAATTTCAGACCAACGCCCTGAACCTAATAGGTGTCTGTTTTGCAGCAGGTTGCATCATTCAGACCTGTTTGAAACAACTTCCCTCACTGGTTGTTTTACTTAAACCCTCTATAAGAAATTAAATTCAGACTACGGCTCAAATATTCTAACATGTTGGCTTCTTGGTTATAGTTTGTGTTCTGGTTCTTCCTGATTCTGGTATTTATTTTGAGGTCAAACCGCACCAAACAACCAACCTCAACCTCAGCCATCGTTTAACGAGGACAAAGTGGGCTCAAGATGTTCAAACTCTGACAAGCAGGATCATTAGAGAGGGAACGAAACGACTTGATTATCTGAGACTGTTTTGTCTTTTTGTTTAACTGTACAAAAACAGAAATGTGTTTGTACCCTTACAGGTAATTGAAACCGTGCTTAATTTCTTTGTAAAAGTGATTCAGTGAAATTAAATTAGCTAATCGTTTCTGCAATTTTGGTCAAAATAGTTTGAACAAATTTGTCGGCAACCTTAGAGACGCTATTAATTTTTGCATTATAGTCATGTTCCAAACTAAGTGACTAAATGACTGTGGGGAGCAGCCGAATTCCCACCACCTTGGACCTCTACACTTCACAAAGCAGGGGAAGGGCGCTCCGCATCATGAAGGACTCCACTCATCCTGCACACAATGTGTTCCAGCCCCTCCCCTCAAGCAGGCGGCTGAGGAGCATTCAGAGCAAGACCACCAGGCTCAAACAGTTTCTTCCCTGCAGCTGTCAGACTGCTGAACATGAGCTGCACTTAATTCAGCTTCATCTTAAATTATTGTAACTTTATTTTATGATATATGTATATTAGTACTCTATTGTATTTATTTATTTGTTAATTGTTAGGCTTCTTGATCTGGAACCTGATTCTGAATTTCTTAACATAAACATGCAAATGTGAGCTGGTATGACAATAAAAAAAAAATCTTTGAATCCTTAAGTTTTATACCTTCAGTAGTACTGCATGTGCCTTCAAGCTTTTCATCAGCCAGAATATTTAAAAGGAAGAAAAATGTCACTGAGTAGTTTGGTATCTTTGTGCATCCACTGAACATGGAGCAGAGAAAGCAAAGGTGAGAGCGGTCTGAGGAGCTCAGAAAGACAATTCAATATATCATGTTAAAGGTAAAGACCAACCCTAATCTGACCACAGCTGCCAATATTATTCAAAAGTATAAAGGTTCATGGCACTGTGCCCAACCTCCCATGATGTGGATGCAAGAGAAAATGCAACCCCAGGTTAATCAGCTATATAGTGCACATGATAGAAAAAGACCCAAGAAAACTATGTTTAAGCTGAACTCTAAGTCAAGTCACTTCCTGATGATGAAATGGATTAAATGCATTCAGACAAGCTCAAAATGTTACGGGAGAAGTTTTTGGTACTGATGAGATAAAACTGGAGTTTTTTAGTCAGTTGTTTGCATCATTTTGTGTGTACTTGACAATACTTTGTAGTACTTTGGTGATTAGTAAATTACTTTCAACAAAGAAATGTTGACAGTCATGTCATAGCAGTATTTAATACCCATGGTGTTGTTGCTGGTGAACAGGTGTTGTGCCATACAAAAACTGTGTGAATTACTCCAGCTAATAAAACAAGAGTACTGCAAAAACATCCATGTGGAAAAAACACACACAAACAGCAGAGAAAAACATGTTCCTCAATAAAAGTCTGTCGAATAAAGCTACACCTGTACTACTCCAACACCACAGCACTGATAAGATGTGCCTCACTGCTCACACTTCCTAGATTTTTGAAAACAACTTTTTTTTTTTTTTACTGTGTGTTACATCACCACTGCAGTATTTCAGCAATGGACCTCAGAGTGTGACACTGGATAATTCAGACGAGCATTCTGGCCTCTGACAAAACAACGTTAATTTGTAAAGCAAATTATTTGAGTTCTTACATAAAATAACCACAATGTACAACTAATAATTTAGTAACCACTGTGACTAAACCAAGTGACTTTCCTATAGAAAAGGGCAAAAATAAACTGTTAATCTGAGCCTGAATTTTTCACTGCAGCTTAAGAGCTTCAAGAAAAGCAAAGAGCAACAATGGAGACATTCTTCAAACACGTTCTTATAAAAGTTGTTCCTCTGTGCAAAACGTTTAATACTGAGTAATACGACACATTTTGTCCTGCTACACAAATGCAAGAACTTTAAATGTGTCATTTATCCAGTGGTGGAGAAATTACTCAAACACTGTACTTAAGTAAAAGCACAAATAAACAGACAAAAATGTACTCTAGTAAAAGTAGAAGTACCACATTAACGTTTTTTAAGTAACAGTAAATAAGTACTTGCTTTTAAAAATACTTAAAGTATTAAAAGTAAAAGTACTTGCTGAATGTATTGCCTCATGCAATGGTCTACAATATCAAGTGTACGTATGTATATTTTCTGTAATACATTAATAGTGTTGTTTTAACGAACAATGCTGCAGATGATACATGTTTTTATTGTGTTTACTCTGTGACACCGTTCACACTTGGACTTGTGATTCTGTGCGTCTGAATTTCAGGGATGACCTGCAGAGGTAAATGTCATTAAGCAAAATAAGAGAAATGATTATACCTTTGAAAGTTTTTATTTAACACAAAGCAAAACCAAATGTGTCATTTTAACTGCAGTAAACACATTTAAGTAAAAGTTGTCTGCCTGAAAAAAGGAGCATTAGACCAGACAAAGAATAGACACTGATCATTTCAGCTCCAGTTTTTCATCAACTCTAGTTAAAATACTGTCCAGTCGACCTTGAAATGGGTCAATAATGAACAATATTTTAACTTCCTGACACCATTTTCAAAACTTGGACCCGAGTGTCGAGACATTTGGAGACATCTCTTGTCTCCTAACATCATGAACTGACACATTTTAATATTGCAGCAAGACTTTCTTGTTCAAGTTCAGAAGAAGTTGGTTTTCAAAGTTTTTCGAGTCCAGTCTGGCTCAGGAGAGAGAATCTGTCCTGTTGTACTGAACAGTCTTTCAATAATCTTTCAACAGTCTTTCAATAGTTTTTCAATAATCTTTCAATAAGGCCACGGGTGGTGCGTGTCTTCTTGCTGACTCTCCACAGTGGAATCCATTTTGGGTGTGTTAGCGGTGCTGCAGGTGCACCCAGCTCAATGATAATATACGTCATTGACTAAACATAATTGACCCAGCTCTTCTTGAAGGTGAGTCTAACATTACCTGCCCACTTTGCATAATTCAATGGACCAACTCCCCTCTCGTCATTAGTTACTTTCAAATTAACGAACAAATCAACAAACCGCAACGTGACTGTAACGCAACGTATTATAGAAATGTAGTGTAGTAGAAAGTACAGATACTTAACCCAACAATTTTCAGTCAGGTCATCTGGACAGCATCTTTTTTTTGTGTGTGTGCTGAAACGTTTCACCTTCCATCCAGAAGGCTTCATCAGTCAAGGAAACACACAACACAAAACTGATTCTTCCCCCAAACAGCTTACTCCAAAGTGGAACAAACCAGTTATGTTGGTGCTAAGATGGTGTCTTTGGCACGTCCCTTCCTCCGGTGCTGGCCCTCTTCCTCATCGACAGTCACGTCAAACTGATTCAAAATCAACAAAGTCCATGCTCAATAATCCAGGTATATAATCCAACAATTTCAGTCAGGTCATCTGGAAGAAACTGTCCAGATGACCTGACTGAAAATTGTTGGATTGTATACCTGGATTGTTGGAACAGATACTTAATGTAAAATGGAGTGGAGTAAAAGGCAAAAGAACCCAAGTTAAGTAACTACTTAAGTAAAGTACAGAAACATGAAAAATGTACTTAAGTACAGTAATGAAGTACTTATACTTAGTTACATCCCACCACAACATTTAACCATTATGCCTCTGAAATGAGCTCCCAGCAATTTTCTAAATTAACCAAACTTCAGATTTTATAGAATATTTCTGAGCCTTTTGGGATAAAAACAAGTACTTTAAAGTGTTTTTCAAAACTTTTGTCAGGACTAAGTCACAAAGTACATTAGGGAAGGTATAAACCTGATTAACAGACAATCAGGCGTAGACTTGAACTAAATCTTTGATTAGTCGGCAAATGTGAGGACAGTCAGTTTCACAGAAAGTCAAAACATTGTGTTTGTCTGTCGGTTCTGGCATCAGCTGTGAGCTGTCTCTACCTTACTAAATTACATCAGCTGTTTAAATAGTCCCACAGATTGAGAGAAAAAACAGAGGGTGATAAACATATCTGCCAACCTACATAGATTGTCACACAACGACCATTACTTGACATAATGTTCAGTTTCACAATGACACAGAGTCAAATAAGGAATTATGTACAAGACAGTAATATTGTACAACATAAACAATGCAATGTACCAGGAAGCAGATCATTAAACATGTC